ATAAATAAAATAAATAAATAAATAAATAAATGTATAATACCTTCCGTTGGGATGCAGCTGTCCGGACTAGATGGGATTTCGTGAACTGGGAAGTCAGCTTCAGGCGAATTTTCCGCTGGTTTTGACCTGATGGATTCTTTTTGCCTACTCTGTAGGCAGCAATAACGTCAGTTTTGTTTAGAATGAGCTGCAATTTGTTTTTTATGAGAGCCTGAGCTATTTCGACACAATTTTCACCTTCATGTTCCACAGGTATATCTTGGGACGACACAATAACAGAATCTAGCAGCTTTTGTTGGTCTTGTTCTTCCTGGGATACGGAACGTTGGGCTGAAAATGTACTGATACATGCAGTCATTTTGCTGAGAGCTTCCTCCTGTTTTTTTAAGGCTTCATCTAGGCTGTTAAGGATGTGGTTTTTTAATGCTGTTAGGTCCCATAGTATTTGTCCATGACGATGTATGTTTTGTAAGAATCTAGTGTGATAGCAAGCTAAGAGGCGTTTTGAGCGAATGGAGGGGGTGAAAGTGAAATGTGGTTTGTGTGTTGTTTTAGGAATGGAGATGTTTGCTGCATGAATGATGGTGTCTTGTATGTTGCGTGCTTGTGTGTCGATGTCAGTGTGATGTTTGTCATTGTATTCATAAGTGAGATCAGTGTCATCAATGTGTTGTTTGAACATGTCCCAGTTTGCCCTAAGGTATGAGAATTGAGGAGTGCTGGGGATGAGAATAGGATTTGTGGAGACTGTGAGAATTAAGGGAATATGATCAGAGCCCGTAATGGGCCCTGGTGAAATGAAGTGTTGCAAGTTGCTGCCTTGTCTGTTGGTGAATATGAGATCAGGCCTGCCAGAACCTGTATGTGTGAAACAAGTGGGGAAATCAGGGCCAAGAAAGAATAGATGTTTTTGGGTGTATATTTGGTGAAGCTGTCTGCCATGCTGATTTGTGGTATTGTGGTGGAATGTAGGGTGTTGTGCATTGAGGTCTGCAAGCAGAAAAACAGGCAAGTTTATTTATTTATTTATTTATTTATTTATTTATGCATATACAAGAATGTACATAAGGAATGTGAGGATACAAATGTGGTAATTACAGTCTTGTAAAGCCACTAGCACGCGCAGCGTTTCGGGCAGGTCCTTAATCTAAGAAAATTTTAAGGAGGTAAATACTTGCAAAATTTATAGACAAAAAAATGATAACAGTTACATGAAATGAAAAAAAGAAGATGAGAGAAAATTGTAGGTACAGTATATTAAAGCACATAGGTAGCTAAGATTGAATGCAATGACAGCTTGAATGGTAGTTGACAAAAATTGGTAGGCACAATACAGCAGAAACAATATAAGATTGATTGCAATGACAGCTTGAATGGTAGTTGACAAAAATTGGTAGTCACAATACAGCATATGGCTAGCACATAAAAGAAGACAGCAATGAACACAATGATAAGGTTGTTTGATATTACATAAAAATATCATAAAAACATAAAAATAAAAAGAAGTAAGTGTGGTTGAAGAGAGTTATGAAATCTTGCATGGGAATGTCGGTGTTAGGACGGGAGTAGGTTGTGCAGATGATGAGAGACCCATTTGTGTGTGAACTTTAATGGCTAGGAAATGTTTGTGAAGCCAATGAGTGTGTAGGAGTTCGTGTTTGTATGAAGAACGGATGAGTATTGCAACTCCTTCATGTGCTTCATCTGGTGACTGGTAAGAGGAGTAGCCATAATGTTTGATTTTATATGAGTTCGTAATGTATGTGCTATTTAATAATAGCACATCAGGTCTCTCGATCTCAATAAAATCTGACACCATGTGTCTAATGGAGAAATATGCCCGCACATTAAATTAGATGATCTTTATGAATTTTTAGGTTTTGATGGGGTGCTGGTGGGGTTTTGTGCATGTACAGGAGCATGAGGTTTGCGTGATTCAATGACTTGGGCAGTTACTGAGGAGGGTGCATCTTGGAGGAGGGTGGTAGGAATTGTGGGAAATTGACAGCGGGAGGTGGGAGTAAGACAACGGGTTGCTGAGCGGGCTCGGGACGAGATGAGATGAGTTACAGAAGAAATGACTGGAGTTGTTGGGGCCCCTCTTTGCCCCGGAATTTATGTCCCCAATGTTTCTTTGTCCCCCTTTTCAGAAACATCTCCGCTTTGTATTTCAAAGCAGAGGCCATAAATATACAATTTGGTCGACAAAAAGCATTGTTTAAAATAGCAGACATGGGTTGACATTTAGGGGAAGGTAAGTTACAGGGAGTTAATTAGGTAGTGCTTACTTTTTATCTTAAACTGGTTGAGAGAGATACAGTCTTTAACATATCATTTTAACAAATATTTTTCCATTTTTTCATTGAATTTCATTGAATATTTTTCCATTGAATTTCAAAATCCAGCTCGGTAAAATTATTATGGCAAATGGGGGGACCTTTGATTAGACACCGTATTCCTATCCTCGTCGGGGCCAATAGTTAGATTGTGGCCTTCAGGTAAATTCAGGTATATTCGTTAAATGCTGACACACCCCCTTTCTGGATTTCTATAGACCCTGCCCCTCTTCACTCTTTTGTATATTAATTTTAAAAATATTTGTTATCAGATAAATATTATGAATATTATATGGAAGTATATGAATATTAATTTTAGCTCAACTATGCAGGTTTATTATTAAATCTTCTATATTGACATTCCGTCAAGCTGCCAGAGCAGACGACAAGAAGCTGCACGCATCATTAGAAACAGGTTACAAACTTGATTTTAAGAAACATATGTTGTAATTCATTATTTATGAAATAAAACTTGTATCCTAGGTTTTTGAAATTATATTCTTATTATTGTCAGAATTATAACTAAGGAGGATCCAAAACTATTAACTTTACTTGGGTTTAAAGCTTCCTCGTTATACAAGCTGAGAAGGCTGAGAAGGGGCAATATTACGACAGGTGGTTGATGATTAGTTAATTTATAAATGCTAACCAGCATTTATACGTTACCTCCTGTACAAAAGACACATCGAACACTTTATGTAGGGCATACGTAAATCTGTGTATCTATGTATTTACGTATGTAGGTTAGCTTAGCATTTTAAAAGCACCGAATCACCTGTGGTTGATTGTTCAATAAACCCCTGAACTATATTTAGGTAAAATACATACATACAACGGGTGATACAAAAATTTATGAATTTATAGATAGAGCTAGTACATACAATTACATAGTACATATTACATATTACATAGTACATAGTATAGCCACTATTACGCAAAGCGTTTCGGGCAGGAAAAACTCTAAAGACTAAAACTTAATACTAATTGAGATTAAAGTATAAAATGTGTTGAGAAAATATAAAAATAAAAAAGTGGAGAACATGGCAGAAAAAAAAAAAAAAATACAATTTGGTCGACAAACAGCATTGTTTAAAAATAACAGACATGGGTTGACATTAAATGGGTAAGGTAGGTTACAGGGAGTTAATTAGGTAGTGCTTAGTTTTTATTTTAAACTGGTTGAGAGAGGTACAGGCTTTAACATGATTGCGAAGGTCATTCCACATTCTGGGTCCCTTGATTTGTAGAGCATTTCTAGTTTGATTAAGTCGAACTCTTGGAATATTATAAAGCTAGGTATTTGTTTCTGGTGTGGTGGACATGGGTTCTGTTATATGTTTAACACATCTCTAATTCTGTCCATGGAGGACAGAAGAAAATGTATATATGTGGTTAGTATTGTAAATGTCTGACCACGTCTGTGGTAGAAAATAATAAAAATAAAATAAATAATGTACATCATAGGCAGGGCAAGAGAAGTTTAATTAACTTTTAAGCTTTAGTCATTAATGTTTTTCCTGCCCGAAACGCTTTGCGTAATAGTGGCTTTAGGCATTGTATGTACTAGCTCTATCTATAAAGCCAACAAACTTTGTAAAATCTCTTTATGTATGTACCTTACCTAAATAAAAATTATTATTATTATTATTATTATTATTATAACTCTATGTACTTGTTGAGGTGGGCCCCCATTTAAATTATTTTATCCAAGCATGGAGACCTCATCTTCAGGAGGTCTGGAGAAAGTGCAACACCTAGCAACAAAAATGATTATAGAGCTAAGTCAACTTGTTTATCACAAACGGCTGAGGGCCATAAGGCTAACAACACTGTAAACCAGGCATTACAGGGTGGATCTCATTGAAACTTAAAATACTGAACAATTTGGATGATGTTGATCCAGACAATTTCTTCAGAAAGTCAGATATAACAAACAAGGAACAACGGTTTTCAAGCTCAACAAGCCACAGTGTAGGACTGAGAACAGGAGATGCTTTTTTCACTCACAGGGTTATTAACCCATGGAACCGCCTACCCGCTGTAGGCGTAAATGCAAACACATATATTTTAAAATTTAACTGGTAAAGATCATCAGGGTAAATGGGGGGACTTTTGACAAGCCGCTGGCTTCCTGTCCTCGTCGAAGCCTTAAGTGTTAGTGACCCTCAGGTAGATTCTTGTTCAAATCACTGCAAATTCTGAATGTATATCAGGAAAGTTATTCGTTAGCTTTAACAATTACCCGAAACGCTATATGCGTGTTAGTGATGTTTCAAGAATGCTATCTGCACACCAAGAATGTTATTTACCCCATAGTAACCTTTTTATTGTGTGCTTTTAATGAATTAATAATTGTTACCCGCCAATGTATTATCTAAACGAACCCAGCAAGTACTAGCTGTATGTAATTACAGATTATATAAATGCATTCAATGCAAGCATGCCCTTTGCTTGCATAATATTTTATATAAATAAATTATTATTTATTACAGTGTATGGATATATTTATATATGTTGTATATATATATATATATATATATATATATATATATATATATATATATATATATATATATATATATATATATATATATATATATATATATATATATATATATATATATTTATAAATAAATATATCAGGTTTGTGACCCGGGTATATCTGAGGCCAGCACCACCCAAGAGGGAGATGGTGCCAGTGATGGTCTGGCACTGCCTCTCTCGCTGACACTCGCTTCCAGGTACTGTCCTTCATGCTCCCTCGCCTCATACCACTATAAGGTATATAGAATGCGTTTGCATCTCTTGATACGGTGGCTCTAACCAATATAATGTGAGGATAACCTTGTGTTGAGGTGTCAACATACGGCTCCGGTATCCAATACAACACTGAAGTGTTTGCCGTCTGTTTTATGTTTCTGAAGAATATAAAATGCTGTTTTGACAAAGTTTTGCTTTACATGTTAAGGGTTTACATTAGGGGCTCTAGTGTTGTGAGGCCTTCCGTCACCTGGTAAGTATTTAGGCCTACCTAACGCTAGGTCATGGGGTTCCAAATATTGTTGATTTTATTTTATATATTTGTTATCGTTTCACGTTTTCCCATTGTCAGTGACAGAAAACTTGTTTGGCTGACTTAAGGTTTCTCTAGGTCAATTAGTCACCTTCCTTCGGAGGGTGTTGTCACCTTCCCTTGGAGGGTGTTGTCACCTTCCCCAGGAGGGTGTTGTCACCTTCCCCAGGAGGGTGTTGTCACCTTCCCCAGGAGGGTGTTGTCACCTTCCCTTGGAGGGTGTTGTCACCTTCCCCAGGAGGGTGTTGTCACCTTCCCCAGGAGGGTGTTGTCACCTTCCCCAGGAGGGTGTTGTCACCTCCCCCAGGAGGGGTGTTGTCACCTTCCCCAGGAGGGTATTGTCACCTTCCCCAGGAGGGTGTTGTCACCTTCCCCAGGAGGGTATTGTCACCTTCCCCAGGAGGGGTGTTGTCACCTTCCCCCGGAGGGTGTTGTCACCTTCCCTCGTAGGGTGTTGTCACCTTCCCTCGGAGAGTGTTGTCACCTTCCCCAGGAGGGGTGTTGTCACCTTCCCCAGGAGGGGTGTTGTCACCTTCCCCAGGAGGGGTGTTGTCACCTTCCCCAGGAGGGGTGTTGTCACCTTCCCTCGGAGAGTGTTGTCACCTTCCCTCGGAGAGTGTTGTCACCTTCCCTCGGAAGATGACAAGAAGTGCCTAACTCCCAAGTATCTATTTTACTGCTAAAGAAAAAGAGGCGTCTATTCATAAGAAATGTTCCCAAACGTCTCAATAGGATGCACACGTCGTACACAAGACGATTCACCAACAGAATATCTCATGTGCTCAGTCCTATATAGTCCTATATTATGGCTTGTTAAGCTTGAAACCGTTGCTCCTTGTTTGTGATACATCTGTCCATTTGAAGAAATTGTTCGGATCAACATCTTCCAAATTGTTCAGTATGTTAAAAGTTTCGATGAGATCCGCCATGTCATGCCTGTTTTGCAGTGTTGCTAGCCCTGTGGCCCTAACCATTCCTGATATGAGAGATAACTTAGCTCTGGAATGACTCACTGAACTAGGTAGCTGTAGTGTTTTTGTACACAAGATGTTTTGCCAATATTGGTAGTTTTAGTTTTATTAATAACTACCAAACCTGAAGGATTACTAAATCTAACCTAACTAAATGATGTCCTGTGTAGACTACCAATTAGAAAATGTGCTGTGTGTGACATACTTGTGTACAGTTTCAGTATATTTACCAGAATTTACCTAAGGGCCACAATCTCCAGTGGCTTCGACAAGGACAGGAAGCCAGTGGCTTGTCGAATGCACCCCCATTTGTCCTGATGATTTTGTGCTTCAAGCAGCATGGGTGAACTCGTGTGAGATGATGTCATTGACTTTTTTCTTCAAATTCAGGTACCTATATTTGATAATACAGATATAGGTGTTACTGACACTTTCCCTTATACTGGTGAAGATGCATGTGAAATGAACTTTTTTACAGCATATTTGATGAGCAACTAGCGACACATTTGTTTGTTTGTTTATTTGTTTATTTATATACAAGAAGGTACATTGGGTTTGTGAGAATACATAGCATGGTATTTATAATGTAAAGCCACTAGTACCAGCTTTTCGAGCAGGAAACGCCCACCCTGTGTATAGTAAACTAACACATTGTTCAGAAACAGATAGATACACATTGAAACTCATTGAAAAGAAGGGCATGTCATCTTATTCACACTTGCTGCATTGGAAAGATACAACTGGAACAGAAAGGTATCTTTTTCTTACCTCTATGTATTTATTTATTTATTTATTTATTTATTTGTTTATATACAAGAGGGTACAATGGGTTTATGAGAGTACATAGTATTGATGTTTTTACAGTCTTGTAAAGCCACTAACACGCATAGCGTTTCAGCCAGGTCCTTAATCTAACAGATAATTTTAAGTAGGTAGTTTGTAGCAAAATTGAAAAAAGTTAACAGGTACATTGTAAGAAAATTTTGAAAAAAATTAGTAGGTACATTTAAGGAAAATATGAGGATTATTTCTAGGTACATTGTAGCATAATTTGAGAATTATTTCTAGGTACATTGTAGTAAAATTTGTGTTAACAACATAACACCCATGATACTGTATAAGACGACGGCAGCAATTACAATGGTGAAATTATTTGGCTTAGGCACATATTTTGGAGTAGCACACGATACAGTGCAAGTGTGAAACACTAGGTAGAAAACTATGAGGATGAAATTAGGTACTTTTTTATGTTACTTTTGAATAAGGGATAGGTTGGACAGCTTTTTAATTCATTGTTGGGGGAATTAAAAAGAGGGGCTGTGTGTTGTCTGAAGGCAGAGTTTGTTATTGTTCTGATAGCAGATTTTTGCTAGGTGATGATGGGCTTGAGGTAGTTTGTAGTGGTTGAACCCCAGATACCGTATGTAAGATGGGATAGATTAGCGCATAGTATAGTGAGAGGAGAACAGAGTTTGGAGCATAATATCTGATTTTAGAAAGAATACCGACCGTTTTTGAGACTTTTCTCAAAGTCTGCTAACCTTATTGGATGACCCATAGATGTGCGGATTATGGCATCCAATTCTGTTTGAAGAGCGGAGGCCCAGTTATTTAGACGCGCTCCACACTCATGGGAGAAGGAACCATCTCTCCCTGTCACAACAACTGCACTTTCAGCTGCACCAAAGGACTGATGCAAGGATCCATCAGTGTAAATAATTTGGGAAAGGGAGCGCTCTCTGGCTAAAGCATCAATTTGGCTTAAGGCATTGTACTTTGCTTCTTGTCGAAGCAAGGCTTGTTCTTTAATTAGCTTCTTGGGTGGGAAAGGGGGGATAGTAATTTGGAAAGGAGTGATCTCCCATGGGGCAGGAAAGTGTTGTTGTTGTCTCTCTTGGTAGAGGTGATGAAAGTTATACATTCTGAGCACAGTGGCAGTTTCGGTAATCCATTTGGAGGGATGCTGACCTTCAAGGAAGAAGGCTTGGAGAGCTTCAGTGCAGGGGTTAGGGTGGGTTAGCCTAAGCATCTTGATTCCAATTAAAATATTAATTTCAGTGATACGATCACTTTCACATGAAATATTCAGTTCCTTCCTCATGTTTAGTAATTTAGTTGTGCGAGGGCATCCGAGGATAATCCTCATGGCTTCGTTTTGCATCTTTTCCAGCCCTCCAAGCATTCTCTCGGGCACTAGAGCAAGCATGGGTGTAGCATAATCAATCAGAGACCTAATATAGGAGAAATACATGTCCTTCTTGGCATTTTTTTCCAGAATAGCCCTGTCTCATCACAATTAAACACTTGTTGTGGTAGGTATCCCTCACTATCTACAAAATTTTTAAATTCGCCAACAAATCTTTCAGCCTCTTCTTTGTTGGTGGCACCCTCCTCGTGTCTCACAACACTATGAATGTGTGATATATTAGACCAGGGCATTAGTCTATGGAGTTCAACCTACCGGGGACCACGAGCCACAACCTGGCCTCCTCAGAGAGGTTGCAGGGAACAGTGGTCATGAAAAAAAACACTGTGGTTTGTGTTTTTCCTTTTCTGACATCGACTGGGGTTAGGCACCCAGCAAGGTAGACATAGCGAAACAAACCCCACATGGTAAGAAAGTGCAACTAAAAACCGAAAAGAGAGGTAGAGCTCCCTCTAATCCCAAGGAAACAAGCAAACGTCACACTCCATTGCTGTGCTGCTCATCCACACAGCTCTCCCCTTCCTGCACTGGCTACCCAGCACTCCAGTTTGTTAGCTAATGTGGTCTGGGGTGGACGTCTTCTCCAGCCTCGATCTCCATAGGCAGGGTTTTGCCTTCGTGGTGACCTCTGCAGTGTTGTTGTGTGTGGTGGCCTCATCAGTGCTGGGAGCTGCATGTGCTTAGGGGTATCCTTCCCTAGGCGCCCTGTAAGTACTGCTCTTGCGTGTTAGGGTTCCCTTCCCAGGTGTGTGTTCGGGAAACCATATCCGTGGGTGTTTTTGCTGCTTGGCATTTACCCTGCCTTTACCCTGTTTTGTGGCCCTTGTTTGGCCTTGGGTGAGGAATGGTATCATGCTGGTTGAGGGCGTTAAGGTATTATGCAGCCTTCCTACCTATGTGGCAGCTGGTTCCTGTTTCCTCTGGGGACGTTGTACTTTTGCATTTTTTTTTTTGCCTGTCTGGTGGGGGTCTGCCTGGTGTAGCTATAGTTCAACTTACCCTCTTATATTATTTTTATTTCAACTTACTTTTATTATTTTTGGTGGCCCTCTGCTAGGCCCCTGTGATTATACACATCCCAGGGGTTTCAGTGTTTTGATCTCCCCCTTGTTAGCTTTGGGTCTTAACCGGTTAGCAACACTTGCCCAGTACTTCTGTAGCAGTCAGCCTATGGCCCTGGAAAACCCTATCGGGTCTCTAGTGGACCTTTGGATACGTCTTCCGAGTTCCAGCCCGCCTCGTGCTGGTTTGAAGGTTGCTGTGTGCCCTTGTCTCAGGGTGATAGTCACCACTTTTGCCTCCGTCATGCTGCCTGTTGGGTCATCGACACTTTTGACCCGGAGTTTTGTGAGTCGTGTTCTCTGCTTGTTGTCCAGTACTATTCTGATGACATTACTGTAGGAATACAGGCAGCATCTGCGTTGCTTGCTAGTTTTAGGGTGCTGCAATGCGCTAGGTTGGTTTCCCACCCACCCGGGTGCCCCAGGGCTGCCCCATTTTGGTTAGTTGTTGTTCTCCCTTCCCCCCCCCC